TTCTGAGACAGTGAATTTTGGTTTTTCGTTTTGTTTTTTTTCCCCCAGTAAGAGGTTTTTATTTAATAGAATTTTTGGACCAAAAAAAAAAAAAAAAAAATCGCAATATATCGCCTTGTTTACAGTATTGAAATATATCGGGATATATCGTATCGTGACCCCCTCTGTCATGATATGTATCGTATCGCCAAATTCTTGCCAATACACAGCCCTACTAGGTATATGAGACCACCTGCCACTTCTAATGTTAAGCAAATAACTTCCTGGTCTAATAATACGTTTATACTGCAACAGTATATTTGGTTGTTTTATATACTTAGTACCATGCTGTGAATGCATTGCTGTATAAACACTGATTCAAAATACTGAAAGCATTATAATTACCCACACCTTAAAACTTCCCAGACATAACTTAAACCAAGTCAATGTAATTGACTTGAACCAACTCATGTCTTTTACTAACGACTTATAGAGAGCTACATTTTCTGAGCTATACAACCATCTGGTTTGGTTCCTCCACCTCCCAAGAATGAGCCAAACTACAGTGCATTGTCAGAACTGCAAAAATAATGATTGGATTGTAATCTGTCAACCCATCAGGAGATTTACATCTGCAGGGTGAGTAAGCAAAATGGCAAAATCATAACTGACCCCTCACATCCATTACCTCTTCCACAGACTTTCCACTGGAAGAGGCCTCAGGACCATCAAAACCAGAACAAGATGGCAGGCTAACAGCTTCTACCCCAGTACCGTGGCAATCCTCAACCACAGCAGACGCCTCACATTCTAGTTATAACTTACTCCACAACTATTAAATTAAAAAACAACCCACAAAACTGTAAACATAAAAAAGTACATTTTTTTCTAATCTGCACATGTTTGTTTGCACTGCTGTATATGTTCATATTCTGTTAAAAAGATTACCCACATCATCTGTAAATTCCTGTAAATTGTAGTTTGTGTTCATCTTTTAAATCTCTGTGTTGTCTTATTATGCGTCAAGTGGACACATGAACACTGTTTACAACTCATACTGGATGAAAAATAATGTAATATGCATTTTTTTGTTATAGTGAAGTTAATTAAGTACAGTCCTTTTATTTTAATGACTATGTCCTGCTGGAGTGTGACATGATTTGTTTGTGTACAAATTAATACGGTGTCAGAGTTTTATATATTTATACTTCTCATTCAACCACAATTAAATTCACTCTATCTAGGAGGCTCAGTTTATATGGATAGTATTTTTTTTACAATAACAAGCTGGAATGAAAACAAGCAAAAATTAAATAAAAGTAACAACTTTTTACTTTTTGCCTTTTTTAATGCAAGGAGTAAAAAGTACAGATATTTGTGTTAAAAAATGTAAGAAGTAGAAGTAAAAAGTAGGCTGAAAAATAATTACTCAAGTAAAGTAGAGATGCCCAAAAAATGTATTTAAGTACAGTAACAAAGTATTTGTACTACTTTACAACTCTTGTTTCTTCATATGACCCAGCCCAGGCCAACTAGCTTGACTGAAATTTCAAGATCCTGAGGACAAACCCCCTCCTTCTTCTTAGCAATCTGAGGGCTATTAGTGGCCTTTTGTACGACAAATTCCTGCAGGTAATCCAGACACACCCACCACGCC